TCGGAGTCTGGGGGCCTGGCTCAGCGGAGCTGCTCCTTTCACTCTGTCCCTGAACTGGCTCTGTCAGGGTGTGAATCCCCCCGGCCCATGGCTGAGATCTCAGCGCTGCTCCCCAGGCACAGCTGGGTAAATCCTGGAGGCAGGAGGTTGCCTGAGTCACTCCCCAGCTGGGGCAGGTTCTGTCACTGACAGGATCAGACCCTCCCCCATGGCTGAGCTCTGCCCCTCACGCTCTGATTCTCTCTCTGCAGCCAACGTGACTCTGGATCCAAAGACGGCCTATCCCGACCTCATCCTGTCTGCAGATCAGAAAAGTGTGAGATTAGGACGCACATGGAGGGCTCTGCCCAACAACCCTGAGAGATTTGACACTGAGCCCTGTGTGCTGGGCTGTGAGGGATTCACCTCGGGCCGACATTACTGGGAGGTGGAGGTGCAGTGGGGGGGAGTCTGTGCTGTGGGGGTGGCCAGAGAGTCTGTGAGCAGGAAGGGACGGATCCGGGTTAACCCTGAGCAGGGGATATGGGCTGTGGAGGGCTGGGGGAATCAGTACCGGGCTCTCACGTCCCCTGAGCACGGCACCCCCTTGTCCCTGAGCCGGGCACCCAGCAGGATCCGGGTTTATCTGGACTATGAACGGGGGCAGGTGACGTTTTTCGATGCTGGTAACGAGGACCCGATCTTCTCTTTCCCACCGGCCTCTTTCGCCAGGGAGAGAATCCGCCCGTTCTTCCAGGCTGGTGTTAGTGTCCCGGTCTTTGGGGTTCTTGGTACTGTGCGGCTCACACTGAGTCCCTGAGGTGCCCTGTCTGTCCCCATGAAACAGGCTCCTCTAGACCCCACCCTCCTGATCTCAATGACCTGGAGGACTCAGCCAGTCTCCCTCCGCACAGACAGGGCTGCAGGGGGGGTGATGCTCTACCCGTAGCTCTATGGCTGTGGAGGTCTGTGTGAAGCTCTAGGCTGGGTCTCTAGGCTCCTAGGAGGCCAACTCTGTGTGGAGTAGGGGGGTCCCACCAAGGAAGGAGGGAGCCCCTGAGGGAGGGACCAAGCCGGGGGCCAGGGAGAGACCCCTCAACGGGGAGTGGGGAGAGCAGGGAGGAGGCCTGGCTGAAGAAGCTGGTTGGGGAGGGAAATGGGGGTGTTTAAAATCATTTTAGTTGATTGTTATTTAGCCACAACCAGCTAATCTATATTTAAATACAGCTGTTAGCATGTGTACGAGGTGCAAAGGCTGGAATTTTCAAAAGAACCAAAGTGACCTAAGACTCATTGATTTTCAATGGAACTTGTGCTGCTAAGTAACTTCAGGGGATTTTCAAAAGCACCTAAGTCATGGAAAGCACCTTAACCTTATTAAAGTCCCGCTGTAAATGGACCTGAGAGGGAAATTTGTCTGTTTAAAACTTTCTGGAAAGCACTGGAAAGCACTGGTTTGCTGTGTGAGGTGAATTTTGAGACAGAAACAAAAGGTTGGTTTCCATATGAATTTTACCAAAAGTTATTTAAGATGATCAGAGCCCTGAAAACCGAATCCGTTCCCTTGTGTCCGCTGCCCAATATGGGATGTAAAAGCAAAAACAGATGAGAAATGAAGGATTGATGACAAATATATGAATGACGCTGGATTCCATCATACACTACATTTCCTGCTAGATCATCTCTTCCACCCCCATTATACCGTCAAGTAAATTATCTAAGGGTATGTCTACACTATGAAATTAGGTCAATTTTATAGAAGTCGATTTTTCGAATTCGATTTTATACAGTCGATTGCGTATGTCCCCACTAAGCGCATTAAGTCAGCGGAGTGCGTCCTCACTACCGTGGCTAGCATCGACTTACAGAGCGGTGCACTGTGGGTAGCTATCCCACAGTTCCCGCAGTCTCCTCCCCCACATTGGAATTCTGGGTTAAGCTCCCAATGCCTGATGGGGCAAAAACATTGTTGCGGGTGGTTTTGGGTACATGTCATCAGTCGCCCCTCCCTCTGTGAAAGCAACGGCAGACAGTTGTTTCGCGCCTTTTTTCCTGGGTTACCCATGCAGACGCCATACCATGGCAAGCATGGAGCCCGCTCAGCTCACCATAGCTTCTGCTGTTGTGGGCAAGTCGACTGTGGGACTGCTGTGATCCAAGTAGCCAATGCAATCATTGACGTTCTGTTATCAAGAGTAGTGACTGTGGGAAATGTGCGGGCCTTTTTAGATTTTAGGT